AGGTCGTTAACTTCTTCCTCTTGAATTATTTTGTCTTCACTCACCTGCATCAGCTGAGTAATTCCTACGTAGCCCTTCTGTAGGCTTTGATAATGACAACTGATCTATCATAAACAAGTCAGGATTGCAGTTGGGTAATCTGCACCTGTGTTTTTGGAACAATTGTTACTTAGGCTGTGAAGCTGGTTCTTAAGTGTTGGGACTTACTGGTGGTCTCTCTAGTCTTCTTTCACAAAAACAAAACAGTGGTGCAACCTATGCTTTTTAGACTGTCCTTTGTACTGAATGCATAGGGACCTTACTCACTAATTTTTACCACAGAGTATACTCAGTTTCACAGACTGTAAGGCCTATTCTGTGACTTGCACCCACAGAGCACCAGATAATCTTGCCACTGAATTTACCTTTCTTCCTCCTGCTTATGTTCGAGTTTATGTTGCTGTTTGCTATTGCCGACAACCAGAGTTGACTTTGCAAAAAGTTACTGCTGTGGTAAGACCTACTGTGGTATGTGCAATGACTGTGAGCACAGCCAAGATCTATGTTACAAGTAGAGGCAATAAGCTGCATGCTATATACTTAGAATAGTTTAAACAACAATATAGGTGGTGGATGGTTCAAATTATTTGAAAATTAGATCCTTAAGCATATGGTACTGTTACAGTGTTTGAACAGAGTTTAAGGCCTAAGCTACTCTGAAAAACTGTGGCTCCTTGCCAGAGAATTGCCTTAACAGGTTTCATTGCTTTTTCTTTAGTAAGTAAGTGACAAGGAGCTTTCTCCAATCAAGTTTTCCCTGCTGTAATTTAAGAGAGAAAAATCACATTTCACCTATTAACTTTGATGCTTCTAAGAGCTATACTTTTTTGTAGTTTGTGGCATTACTTGTATTTTTCAACACTTGTCCATAGGCACTTTCCCTTATAACGATTTTTTTAGACATGACACTTACTAGACTAATTCAACGTAACCAAATAATTACGAACATCTATGCAGTGTCCTTAAACGGATTGTACCCTTCAGTGTAACCAGGACTAGCTGTTTCTCAAATGCCAGTGAAAATGGTGTTCTTTGACATAGCAACTGCTGGCACTTACTAGCTTCCTAGGTGTGTCAGACTTAATTGGGAGTGGAAAGCAGTCCTCAAAGAACGTGCTCACTTTTAACCCAAGCAAGCCTCAGAACATTCTTCTTGGTCATAATTTCACTCTCTATAACACATGACCCAATAGTACCTTTAAAATGCAAACCCGAAGGGTTTTTTTGTTTCCAAACTGACACTTTACAGGCTTCTGATTTAGGTTTGACCAATTCAGTCTCATGCTTTCTCAAAACTATTAATGCTTATTTTTAATGGAAATGAGCCTGTCAGCTAATTTTGATCTAGGTCTTTGTTTCAGGCAATTCAAGGCCATGTTTTTGACTACAATCCCCAGACGAAGAAAATTTGGAGGATTTTGTTGGTTTGTCTGCTAAATGCATCTAAAAATATTATCATAAAAAGCTTGGTGCAAGCTTTTATTAATATTCATGCATACGTAAGCAATATCCCCAAGAAGACTTCCTTGCTTATAGCATGTAGTTTCTGTATTACTTTAGGTAAAAAATCCAAGCATTCCAGAAATGCCAAAGTGTTGATTGTTGTGTCAGAAAATATGGAGACCTTTTATTTTGAACAGTGAGTGTAGGTGGAAAGTAATAGTTAACAGAGGTGTCAGTATTAGAAGTTTAGCACTTACTTCAGCTTCCTTAACTACAACATGCTCTTCGTATTTGCAGATTATCTCACATTTCTCAGAAGTAAGAAGAAAGTTTAACCATCTTCTTGTTGCTAATCAAGTTGCCTCTGTGATGTGTTTATTCCTTTAGGAATATTGTTTTGTTCTATGCAGTTTTAGAATTGAGGTTTTTTGTTTTGAAAAATTTCAGAGTACTTTTTTCTTGTAATTCCCACAAGTATTCTCATGCTTAAAATCTTGACAGATTACTTTTTATATGAACTATTTATAGGAGTAAAAAGATTGTCTGTTGCTGAGTTAAATGAACTGCTAGAAGAAATTGAGACTGCTATTAAGGATTATTCTGAGGAACTGGTACAGCAGTTGGCTCTACGAGATGAGTTGGAGTTTGAGAAGGAAGTGAAAAACAGCTTCATTTCTGTCCTCATTGAAGTACAAAACAAACAGAGAGAACACAAAGAAACGGCAAAGAAGAAAAAGAAGCTGAAAAATGGTAGTCCTCAGAATGGCAAACAAGAAAGAGGTCATATGCCTGGAACAGTAAGAAAATTTTTGTAACTATTTATACATTCAAAATGTTTTTTGGTTTTTTCCCTATGGGAAGTAGTAGTCCTAGATTATATCAAGATACCTGGTACACCTGCTTCCGTGCCTTCATTCGCAGACAAGGCTTAGGCACTTCCTATTGAGATTATTTTTTTCACAAGGTCATATAATATTTTACTCTTCTCATACTTCAAAAAGATTTTTTTATTGTTTGCAAATTAGCCTGGAATCAGCATACATTTCTTGCAAAAAATACTGTCTTTGGATGTACTGCTGTGTGTTCTATTGTCAGTAGGCAAACTCATTTATCTGTTTGGTTTCACTGTGTGAACTTTAATATGTGTGTACTACTGTTAGTCTGGCAGGAAATTCAGTATTATTATTGGTGTAGTTGTACAGATATTTATTGATCACATTGGTTTTTAGGTAGGAAAAAAGTAAAAGTCTTACCCTGGCTCTCTTGAAACCTCTGGCAGAGTTACTACGTCCAACGAGAGACGGGGGTGAGGCCAAAGTGTAGTGCAGGTGTACAGGAAGGAGGTAATTTGGTTTATTCTTTTCAGAACATAGCAACAAAAGGAAAAATGTCTTTCAAACAGAGTATGAATAATAGGCAGAGAATGAAAGAAATTAGGTTATTATCTTGTCAATGCAATTTTTTCTTTCTTGCCTGTCTAGTATAATTTTAAATTACTTAAGTGGGATATTAATGTTAGAATTTCTTAGTGTCTCTTATAGGATGCAGAAAATGTGGTTAATGTATTGTAGATCTTGGCTAAGTCCCGGAAAGAATGCTTCAGTTTGACATCAGAAGGTTTTCGAGTTTGTTTTTCAAACATAAGAAATAAACATTTGTAATGAAACATTAATCCTCCAGAATCTATTTCTAAACTTACAAGAGTAAGATACCTGTGATATAACCCAAATGGAGTTCTGATCTTGTCCGTCTAATGAAAAGTGGTATTGTACATAGCAAAGTTTTAATGGAACTCTAAGAAAGTATATGTCTGGGAAACAATACAGAATTGTCATCCCTTTGCAAAAGCACAGTGAAAAGTTCAAATGTACTCCTTTTTGGTTCTCAGTCATGGAAAAACAAAAACAAAAAATTCTAACTAGAAAGAAAAATAATTATTTGGTTTTGAAAGTTGAGTCAAGTGCTTCATAAGTTATTCTGGTTAGTGTAAGTTTAGAGACTTGAATGATGCTTTCAAGTATAACTGTACGTGGTCCCAATATAAGACATTTTCGTATTTGGTTGCTTCAAGATATAAATGTGTCAGATCACTTTCTGAGAGGGATTGAACAAACTAGCTCCCAAGTAAGACTGTGGGCTGCGTATGTGTGGTTCCTTTGAAAATAGCTTTCACTATCGCCAAGTACAGATTTGAGAGGCTTCCCCCAGAATTAGGTGCAAGCTTCCTTCCTTCAACGCTCCTTTTTTTTTTTTTTCCTTTTTTTTGGTTTTTTTTTTGTGTTGTTTTTTTTTTTTAAGGAAGTGCTGAGAATGTGCATACAGATAGTGTGTTCAAGTAACTTTGTGAAGAGTGAGTTTCTGTTAATAAATAATGTATAAATTAATAATTTTAACTAAAACTATAATGAAGTCTCATTTAAATACAAAGCTTGGAAGTAGGGTTAAATTTTCATACGCTTAGAAAATCAATTCTTCTGTAGATACTATAATTGAATTTTAATCAATAGAGGTTTTAATTCTTTGTCCTTGATACAATCTTTGGATAAATCACTTTCTTAGACTTCTAAAACTTTTACCTCTCTCACAAGGGCAAACTGGGGAGTAATTAAAAATAGTCAGGGCTTGAAGATACCAGTTCCTTTAAGCAGGATATCTTAAAAGAGTTAAGATGGCTTTGGCAACATCTATGCCTATTTACTGACCTCATTGTGCTTTAGAAAGCAAATGAATACTGTATTCCAGCACATTTTATTCCCCCTCCCATAAATAAATATATTCAGGTAAGTGTGCTGAGGTGTGTGCATCATACTGCCCTGTGTCGTCAGCTTGACAGTTTCTTCTTTTTATGTTCTTGCCAGTTGCCGATTTTTGTATCTCATGTGAAACATCAAAATTGTTTTGATTTTTTTTTTTTACTTGTCTTCTCCAGCAAGCAAAAAAGATTCCAAAGTTTAAGAAAAAAACTGTGGTTGGATTATGTATTAATTTTTCTGTACTTTGATACCATGATTCCACGTAATGGAGCTTGAAATTAATATGGGTGCATTATTAATGTCTATTTTATCATATTAGAAAAAAATGGGGAGTACTAATTGTTGCTTCAGTTGTGGGAAAGGAAGCATGAAAGCATAAAATGTTTTAAAGAGGTAGAGCTGAAAATGACTGCCTCTGAACAGTGTTTCTAGTAGGTGCTTAAAATCTGAAAAATTGGTATCAGCAGTGTCTTTAAAAGTATATTGCTCAAACATGAATTTTAAAGGAGATTGTACTGTGAACTAAACTTTCAAAAATTCTTCTTTTTACTTTTCAAAATGAAACAGCCTTAAAAGGCAAGTCTCAATTATTGCAGTGTGAAGATTGTTTGATTAAATTTTGATGTAGATATACTGTTTAACTGCCATTATAAGGTTTGCTTTTTAATTATAAAAATTAAGTAGGTGAATGAAAAAATAGAAATGTGCTGAAATACATCTTACAGCTTGTCTTTGTCATTTGTCTTTTATAGTCGTGATAAATGCTGATTAATAGCCTTCTGAACTTTTCTCTGTCCCTTTTTTTCTTTCTGCTATGTTTTCACTACTTTTAGCGCTTCAGCATGGAAGGGATCTCAAATGTCATACAGAATGGCTTCCGCCACACGTTTGGAAACTCAGGTGGAGAGAAACAGGTGCTGGGCTATCTTCTCTCTTTTCCTCATTCTTTGCCTGCACTTTCGGTAGGAGCCGAGATCTTGAAAATTGAGAGTAGTTGAAGATAAATGCTGAGACAGGAAAAAATAGGACAAAGATACTGGAATATGTGCTCTTCCCCTGCCTCAGGACTCTGATCAGCCTACAGTCTCTTTCTCTCCTCAACAGCTCAAGACAGTCAGGACTTGATATCCTGATGCACTGAAATAATAACCCTTATTTCTTACCCCAGACAGAAAGTCTGTTTTGACATAATGCATGCTTCAAATACATTCCATGTCTGTAAAAATCTAATACCCAGTGAAAGAATATGTATCAGGTTAGACATAACATTTCAGCCTTCAGCATTAAGGACTTGGGTAATATCTACAACTGAAAAAAGGTTTTGTTTTCTTTTTCCTTCAAATGTTCAGAGCTGATACATCTAAAAACAGAGTAGCATCTGGAAAATGCATGGAGTCTATTGTATGTCTTTTTGCCTTTGAAAACTGCATGATGTTAAAAGCAACCAGATGTGTGCAATGCAGATTACTGATAAAAAATACATAAGCCATAGGCAAGTTTGTCTCTTCATTGACTATTTAAATGTTGAAATATACAGCACAGAGACCCAGCTTCAGTGGGTATCACTGTAGATGTTACATATACCTAAGTGGCAAAATTCTTATGCTTTATTTCAAAGTAATACTTAATTGTTTGTTTCAGAACTGTAGTATGTATTTTATTAAATGTGCTCTGTATTTTGATAAAGTATTAATGCTTATGCTATTGCTTAGGCTTTTAGCACACATTACAAAATACTGGTACATCACGCTATTTAATGCATACCCACCCATTATAGTTTATGCAGTTGTGTCTAAGGAGTGCGTTAGATTCCACACACACACCGCCAGGCCCTGGTGAGAAGTCCATTGAGGCAATAAACTGCCTGGTAGTTTAGAAGTCATGGCTGATTAGGCTTTTGTCCTCGAGATGACTGGAGTATCCTGCAGAGGAGTTCAGGAAGTAAAACAACTCCTCTCAAGTCATTCCTGAATCATGAGGTTAGAAGTCATGGACTTACCCTCTTTCTCAAGCAAGGTATATGTGTGAGAGTTCATGAATACATAGATCTGGCTTATTTGTCCCCAGCTTTGGGGATTTTGAACACATGCATAGAGCTTACCTAACGGCGTTTTTATCACTCTACGTTATCTCAGTACTGGTAAAGTAATAGCTGTGTTGGTTTTTTTTCTTTGCTATCTTTACCATTTAATAGTAAATTACAGCTGTTTACCTGTATCTGTAGCTATTTTAAATATCATGTATTTTCATAAGGTGAACATATTTAGCTATGCCAGCGCCTCTTACTTTTGGTTAAAAGACATCTTTTATATGCATGTTTCTATTCAAATACACCTTTTCTTCTTTGACTGCCTCCTAACTTTCTATACATGTTGCATAATTATGTATTAAGAATACCACTGATTGGTCGTTTTTTGAGTTCGTTTACTAATGTTATTCTTCATGTTGATCATACTTTTCCCCTGCGTTATCTTATATTCTATCCTTATTAGCAGGGTTATGGGGTTTTTTTTCTCTTCCTGTATCCTAAAGCAAATCATGGAAATAACAAGAACTTAAAATGAAAAACAGGGAGAAAGGTAGGAAAGATGCCAGTATTTTTCTGATTTAGTCCTGGAAATCCATTTTTCTATGGCATTTGTTTTTTATTTGGGGTTTTTTTGTTTGTTTGTTTTTGTCACATTACCAAACCCTAGCCCTGCTTTTAAAATATTGTGTCATCTTCTTATTGCAGCAAGTTGCAAAGTAAAAAAATTATCAGATGCTCAGTTGCTTAGTGCTGCTCTCAGAGTATTCGAGTGTTTTTTCAGGGTGTATTGTCATTCTAAACTCATGTTCAGGTGTTTTCTGCTAGCAGGGAAGAGTTAGTTACCAATCTGAAGTTGTGCTCCAAAAAAAATGCAAGGACAGACAATTTTCTGTGTACCTTAGAAGGTAGAAGTTCATACACATAAAGTCACAGCATAAAGTTTATGACAAGTTTGTACAGTTATTTCAGAACTCTTTTTAGTCTTTAATTTTAACAGCATTTACCACCCTACTATTTTCTGGGTAGCGTTACTCTGATAGTGGGTACTTTCGTTTTTGATATTTTAGTCCTTTTTTGTGTGTGTGTTTAAGACGTGACAATGGCTTGGAATTTTTCAGTGTTTAAAGAGAAACTTCTAGTGGGAACTACCTTGTTTCCATCTGATAATGCAGTTGGAAAAAACAACACCAACTGCATAAAAGCCATTGAAATGTTAGTAGTTCTTTCTGTGATCATATTTCCAGAAGAAAATTCAAGATAGTCATCTTCATTTCGATTTTTAGGCATATTGAACACTTTTTATGGGTGATTACAAATTGCAGTGGGAATTGCTGCTTATCATATTGTCAAATCTGCTTCAAAAATTTAGAGATCACAGTAGACTTAACACTTGGGCACGTCAGTAAGCTACACTTTAGTTATTCTTTCTTCCTCTTCATAGTATGTTGTCCTTCACATAGCAATTCAGGGAATGAGTTTTTATGGTGCTATTACAGAGACTTACTGTTGCAGCAGTGAAGTATTGATGAGAAAAACAAGACGATTTCTGGAAACTAAGAAAGAAATTACTTTTTTTATTGTTTTTGTTTTTTAATTATTACTATTAGAGAGGAAAATTGAAAGGTGGAGTTTACTGAAGGAGGAAAACAGGTAATATTGGTATTTGGTCCAGTGAAACATGTCTAGGTAAAAGGTAGAATGCCACTTTTTTCTGAAGGCTGGAAATGACAGCCTGGGATCTGATTTCTGAGTTAGTAGATCTAATTTCATCTCTGACATTTGCAGATTTAACAATCTAGCTATTGATACCAGTAATTTTATTGAGAGTGCAAATCTCTAATGATATCTGTTGGTTACATCTGCTGGAAAAGAACTTGAAAATTGACTGTTTCCTAAGAAGCATTGCGTACTTTCCTGTGCTGTGCTCAGTGGGTGTGAGCAAAAGGACTAGGGTGGTAGAAGAGCGCCCTGTGTTTGCATAAGGTCTTGGTGAGGTGTCAGTACATCCCGTACAACAGGTTCCCTTACGTTACACAGAATTGGGTCTGTCTGGCTTTTAGACAGAGGATATGGTTGGGCGTGAGGTGCAGGAGCCTGCTCTGAAGATGGCAATGGTTATAGCTGCATTTGACAGCACTAAATCTCCTGCAAAGTGAACCTCTTCACCAGAGTGAGTTACACTTGGCTCTTGCTGAGGTGCTGCTACTAGGAGAAAAGGAGACCTTGTATATAATGTGTTTTCTGATTTTTTACATGGAGAACCACATGTCTCTCAAGCTGAATGAGAGAGAGTTGCTTTGCCTATTGCCTTGGAAATGTTAACCCAGAGTAAAGTTCCTGTTAAATTCTTAAAAATTGAATTGAGGGAGGTTTCAGGAAGCTTTTTCATTACGGAAAATTCCAGCGATTTCAGTACTTTTGAAATGGTGATCTCTTTAAGAAGAATATGCATTCATATAGGCTGTGAAGTAAGATGTGGTCTAAATGCATTTAATAAAAGTCTTAGAGAACAGGGTTGCTTCAAGGGTTTGCAAATAAATCTTGGTTGCACCCCAGGTAGGAAAATCCTGAAAGATTTCAGAAAATTTTGGGGTTTTTTTTTTTGTTTGGTGTTTTTGTTTTGGGGGGGGTGGGTTTGTTGGTTTTGTTTTAAAGCTGGTAAGAAGGAAAGATTTCAGTAAAGAGTAAATAGAACAAAAGTGGAGTTGGTTTGAAACAATCTGTTGGCATACTTGACTATTAAAACTGAAAATTGAAATCAAAATCCAAACGGTGGGCTCTCATGTTTAATTAGGCTTGCTTTGTACCTTTCGGTTGGAAGTGTATAGGGTCAGAAGGTGAAAGTTGTCTGTTTTCATTTTCACCTAACTGTAGGGCAGTGTAATTTTCCTTGTGCAGAGGACTATAGATCACCTTCGCAGCTGGGACTGGGCAGTGCTCTTTGATCTGTCAAAATCCTTGGAATGTTTCACATTCTTAGTAAGAGTTATGCAGTCACTGAGAGAATCCTGTGGCTTTTTTGAGGCTGTTCAAACATACCATATGCCGACTTTGAAGATTTCCTCCCTCCCTCGTCCCCCCTCCCCCCATACTTGTTAGCACACTTGCACAAACCTGAACGCCTTACTTCATGCGCCCCCACAGCCTCTATCAGTTGTTTTCTGGAATCCTTTAAAAAGCTGACTGTTACCAGTTTCCCAAATGATTTGAAGGCAACATCAGTATTTACGTGGAAAGATTTTTTTTTTTTTTTTTTTAACATACTTACTGGAAAGAAAGAATTACTTTCTGATTTTTTGGATACAACTGGTGACACTCACATGATATTTATACTTACTTTGTTTTTTGAGACCAAGTGTGAAGATTGTTCATCTGCGTTTATAGTGTTGTTTGAGGGGAGGTGGTGGGAAGGTTGTTCTTCCAGCTTTTATTTCATTGTAAGAAGTACTTTAAATACATGAAGGACTTCTGGTTGACTTCTGGAAGGAGGAGAGTAAAGATTTTACTATTGGTGGCTCTGAGGAAGAAACCTAATGGAGAAACGTTTTACTGTAAACAGCTCCAATTTTTTAAATACCTTTTTTTTAGTGTTTAGCTGCATGACTTCTAAAGTGATGTTTACATCATTTGGAAAAAAAAAGTTGGCTTCTGTGATAAAAGCTTTGGGATAGGAGAGGTAGAATCTTAATCTCTTGTGAAATAATGAGCTTTTATTTGTGGCTAGCAATTTCAATTGCTACAATTTTTTGTAAAATAAATTGCAAGCAACATAAATTGCATGAAAGGACTCTCAAGTAACTCTGTTTTTCATTTGACAGTACTTAACAACTGTCATTCCGTATGAGAAGAAAAATGGACCCCCATCTGTTGAAGATCTTCAGACATTAACCAAAAGTGAGCATATGAAGTTCCTTTCCTCTTTGTATTTCCGACTGTGGCTGCTCAAAATCAATGAATCATACAGTTCTCTTTCCCCTTACCCTATGGCATGTATGTAAAGTTGCATGATTTTTAACCATGTTTTTTTTACTTGTTTTCTGAGCCTTCACAGTATGTTTGTTTTCTAGCTGTTCTCTGAAACCCTGAAGGCTAGAAACTTGCACGTATCAGAAAGTAAATGTTCTCACATTATTTCAACAGGTGGGCCTTACGGAAATACCACATGTCATGGAAGTTGGCAATACTGTCTTATAGTACCTGATATACCCCTGTTTGCTTAAACTTGCTGTGCTTTATTGAGGTTATTGTAATGACTTTCAAAAATTGGAATGGATGTCGGGACACTTACGAGTAGTTGTCTAATGATTGCACTTGATTGCCTTTAAAATAGCCTGCTTCTCTCTGTGGTTTTGTTTGTTTGTTTTTGTTAATAAATCTTAATAGTTAGGGAGTACAAACCAAACAGAGTTTTGGCAGTGCTTTGAATTCCTCTTTCTTCACATCTTTTTAGGCTAGATCCTCAAAATTATTTGTAAGTCCTCTGGTTTTTTATTCCAATTTACATGAAAAATAAGGTTGTATTTTTAAAAAATTAATTATTAAGGTGGTTAAATACAGCAGAGTATCTCTGGGAGTCAGTGTCATCTCCTTCATTTGAAGTTTATAGGAACAGTTTAAAAATAGATGGTATAGTCTGTCAATGTATTCGATCAGATCTCAGTGCAGTGCTTTGAATGTAACTACGTCTTACGGTACTTTCCAGCAGCACAGGTCTGTGATTCCACAGGTGGCTGAGGGATGGTGAAAGGCTCTTTGGTTGTTTCCTGGAGAGAGAAAATAACTGTTACGCAAATTCTGGAGTAAATTAAATGTTTAAGCAAGAATTAAATTCCTTTCATTTTTCTGCAGTAGACACCCTTAGCTGGTAATTCATACTTACTCTGTGACAAATACATTTTTCATTTTATATTTACTCCTGCAGAGAAATTTTATCCTCTTGCCATATTTAAATTTCACTTGAAAATATTCTCAAAAATTCAGTATTAAGCAGAGAAAGGTTAAAGCCTCCTGAAAACCTTTTGTGTTGTTTGATGGTTTATTAACAAAATGTCTTGTACAAATGCACTGTGAAGAGTATTAACAGTGTTGCCTTCTGTGGGCTGGTTGGAACTTGATCCTGTGACTCAGTGCAAATTTCTGACTCACTCTCTGTGCTGTTGTTAAGGCAGACAGTAAAGCAGGTATTTGGGGTTGGTTGGTTGCTTTTTCTTTCAAGCTCTGTATTATTCCGTAGTTATGAACACTAGTATCTTCAACATAAAAATTGAAATAAAACACGTGTTATATTTTGAGTTCAGAGTCTCATATGAGGAATTTGGAGCTTATGAAATACTGCTATTCAGTATAATTCTGTACTTTTGATTCTTTCAGTTGTGTCCAGAGCACTTCGTAACGGATTGTCATTGTTTTTGTTTATGGAATAACAGACAAGCTTATATTTGTCGAGTTGGGCTAGTCCAAATGTTTTTCCTTCTTCAGAAATATGCAAGGATGGACAATTTTTACTTGATATAAGTCACAAAAATGGCATTTTAGCATTATTCTAAGTTAATGCCAAATTCAGTCACGTATTTAAGATTTTTCTAAGCTACAGTTGCTAACATTCACCATTTCAGGGGAAAAAAACCACCAACATTTTCATCAGCTCATTCACAGTGTTTCTCTAGAAAAGTGTCATTGTTCCATGAGTCAGGGTGAAGATCAAGGAAATAAATTAAGTAATGGAGCATACATTTTACCTAAGATTTCCAACCCTCCGGCAGTTGTTAGCGTATTTTAGTTTTGGATGTGGTGACTTTCTTTTGGAGAGATTTTTTAATAGGGAAGAGGTCCTTTTTTTGTTGTTATGACTGATGACATTTTACTGTAATAATTAACCACGTAAAATGGGTGTATTGCATCCATCTACTGCGGAGTTCAGTGAGAGTTACACAAGTGAAAGGTAGAAATATGATGTGTCTCATTGTATCTTCTCATATTCCAGTTAAGAGTTTTCTTACTAATCTGGTAGTAATATCCCTATGAGTAGTTGAAACAGCCTCATGGTATTTCTTTCGAGAGTGTTGTCTTTATGACTAAATATCTGAATTTTTTTTTTTTCATACTTCAGTCCTGCATGCCATGAAAGAGGATAGCGAGAAAGTGCCAAGCTTGTTAACAGACTATATTTTAAAGGGTGAGTATGTTTCTTAGCAGGAATTTTTTTGTTCTAAATTAACTTAATGTACATAAAAGGTGTGTTTGAAAAGAGTAGTCCTACAGCATTCATGAATTATGTTGCCCTTCTATCAAACACAGCTCTCATTTATATTGTCTTCTATTTTGTCCAAGGTTTCTGAGCATATAGTTGATAAATAAAATGTGTTTATTTTGTTTGTGATAGTGTAATATTGCAAAGTATGTGGTGTATATTCAAATAGCTGAAGGACATCAGCAGGAGCAGAGCAGTGTGGCTTACAAAGTTAAAAACTTGCGTTGTACAGGTTTTTCAGAATTGGAATTCAAACCGCCTGTGGTAATCATGGATTTGGTAGATAAAGTGCTTATAGCTTTATTTTAAGTGTTACCTTCTGACCAATAGTAAAAATTATTTATTTTACATTTACTTGTTTTACCTTCTTCATGTTTTATTTAAAAGATTTGTGTACTAATAATTTATTTTCCAGTCTTATACATTGATTATATTAATAGAATGTCAGATGTTGAAAATCATTGCTTGCTTTAGCTTTAAGGACTTGTTCCAGGTAGTTTCCAAGTTGTTAAATTACTTTTAAACGTTTTTCTTCTGACTTCATTTTTTGCCTAGATCTTATTAATGCTTATGTTCTTACTTAATTCTTGACATATAAACGGTATCATCTTTTTCAGTGTTTAAAGTTTAGCATATGCATCAAACTCCCAAGATCTGAACAAACAGATGTACAAAAGGATGATGGATGCCTTTTTATTTGCCACCCAAATGTGTATTATGTTCTGCTTCATGTTTATATGCTGCGAAGTTTTTCTCTTCTTTCGGTATCATGCTTTCCAAGTCTCACGTTTTTTCAAGTACAATCATTTTACTTAACTCCCTCCATATGATTTTTAAAGTTTTTTGTATTTCTTACACAGACTTCTGATCACTCTTATCTTGCAGAGATTTGAAAGTACTTTCAGGTTAAAGTCGTGGATGAAATTTAGTGTGCTGTTGCTTCAGAAAATCTGAAAGGAGAGCCATGCAGTATTCTAGAAGCTCTGACAGACTTCTGTTGGAAGGGGCTCGTTTCTAAGTTTCATGTAGGGTTGCAGAACTACCACATACAATAAGAATGCAATCCTTTGAGTTGATTCCTTTGGTTGCTCCATTGTTTAACTTACCCTTTCTGAAAATCCTTCGTATATTAGGCAGATGTATTTGCTTATGAGCTGAGAGCCATTTAGGCTCAAGATCAAGGGTTTTTTAATGATGATGGCACTAAGCTTTAGTTTTGTGAAGCAGAATCTTTGACCAAAGAGGATGAACTGTTGTCAATAATTAAAGCTGTTTGCTTTTCATCATAATACATCTGGTAGAAACTGATTGGAATGAATAGTGCTCTTTACAGTGTCTGCTCTTATTTCTAGATGTAGCTATCCAGAAGAGCTTTCAGATTACTAGGATACTGAGAAGCAACTGGCTGCCGAGGGAAACAGAGAAATCTTCTGTATAGCAGGCTTATAAAAGTAGATTAGCTGAACATATGACAGGATGATCTAGGAAGCTTGATACTGAGGTTTCCTCCTAACCTCTGCCTCTGCATGCTCATGACTTTAAAATCACCGGGGATGTTCTACTAGCTAGATGCAACAATTACAAAAACATCATGCTCACATTAAATGTGTTGGATCAAACAGGTCTTCATATAAAAGCACTGTTGTCTCTAAATTATAAAACACAAACGACTGGAGTGTGAAAAGTACTCACTCACATCACTCGTACTGAAAGGAGAGGTGATTTCTGCACCGCTGCCACAATTGCATTACTGAACAGAACTAAGCATTTCTCGCCCTTCTGTGGGTTTGTTTGCACAACGGCAAGCTAGTCATACAAGCTAGTGAGCACAGAATTTTACTCTTCTTTTCAATGTAGCTTTAAGTTTCATATTGCTGTGTTTAGATTATGTTAAATATTTATAGCTAGGCTGGCAGTGTTACATTGTAATGTAGATTTATCCTATGGAACAGGCAAAGTCTTCCAGTTGTTTCTGAAGTTGTAATCTGTTTCTCTTCTTTTTCTGCCACTAAAACTTCTGGCCTGAAGCTTCAGAGAGGCTTCATTCATGGCACAAAATACTCCCGGCCACCTGTCTATTATCTGAAGATTATTTTTAAAGCTTGTTAAAGGGAGATTAGATGATTCTAAACAATCACTTCAAGCAACTTTCAGCTCAGCTTTTGTACCTGAAATTCCAACCTACTCCCTGAATTTCAAAATAAAAGGAGTGACCTACTTTTTGAAGAGTCTGCTCTCTTCACTGGAAAGATTAAAAATGTCTTGGCAAGGTGAAAATGATTATGAGGATTTAGGGGTTTGAATTTGTTTTCCAAAAGAAACAGGAGGATAACAAGTTCTGGACCCAGTAATAATAATCCATATGGTATAGTGATAACTGTATTCATTTTACATTTGTTTACTCCATGATCCAGCTATTGTCCTAGACTGAATGGATTCCATTTCTTTTTATTAAGCTTTAATCAATAAATGACATTTTGAAATATGTGAATTATATCACCAAAGATACTTAGTTCTGTTAAAATCTGTTAACTTCTTGTTCCTTTGAGGATCGCTTTGTCCAATCTTACAACAAAAAAGCAGGCAGTAAATTATATGTGACAATAGTGTATGTGTAATTTTATGGGAAATCCGGTTAGTATCGCATTTGTCAGCACAGGTAAAACCTTCTTTCTAGCTCTATATTCCATTTTCTGCAACCAGATCTCCTATTGACCTTCTATGTTACTATGGATCATTCTTGCACTTTTTTTCATCAGTAGCTAATGCTTCTGAAACACTGGAAGTAGAAATCCTCAGAACATGGAATGTGCAAATGTGGTGTATTATTACCAGTGAAAAGTCCAGTGCAACTCAGTGCATTTCACGTTAGGAAAAAAGAAAGCACCATATGCATTTCTGAATAGGATTATTAGTTTGGAAATTATTTCTGGTTTTTGCTTCTTTAAAGCATCCTCTTTTCCCAATTTCTACCACCCCCTTGTGTCCCCCAAAATATTAAAAATGTCATCATTTTGTCCTCATGCTTAAGTCCCTCTTTCCAGTGATCAGTTAGCTCTCCCCTGGATCTATTGCATAGGGAATACCTCCTCAAAGGTAAGTATCCCAAAGCCAGACTATGTACATATTCCATGTAGATCTTGTCCAATGCAGTAACTTACTTTCTCTTGTTCGTGTTACTCTTGATGCAACTTAAATTGTTTTCAAGGGGATTTTTTTCCTTTTGTGGGGTTTTGTTTCTTTTCACTTTTCAGTGAACATTTCCATCCTGAAGTTAGTAATAATGAAAGGGACTTAGTGATTTGCTTTGCAAGTATATTGTAGTTCTTCTCCCACCAGCGTATGATTCATATTCTGTTTTATAGATTTAGAATGAAAATAGATGGTAACGTGAAATTGATAAGCATTTGCAATTGTGCTTACATTTTTCTGAATATATTTTTCATATATTGTTATTATAATTTATCACTAGGGATCATGGGTGTCGGTCTCTTTTCCCAAGTAACAAGTGATAGGACTAGAGGAAATGGCCTGAGGTTGCACTAAGGGAGGTTTAGATTGGATATTAGGAAAAATTTCTTCACTGAAAGAGTTATGAAGCATTGGAACAGGCTGCCCAGGGAAGTGGTTGAGTCATCATCCCTGAAAGTATTTAAAAGACATGTAGATGTGGCTCTTGGGGACATGGTTTAGTGGTGGACTTGGCAGTGTCAGGTTAACGGTTGGACTCGATGATCTTAAGGGTCTTTTCCAACCTAAATGATGCTATGATTCTAGGAAGTAGAAACTGAGGTTTGGAGGAGGGTGGGGGAATGCATTTGCTGACAGGGAAAGAAATATCAAACCAATACTGTGAAATTCTTGATTTTAGAAAGCACACTTTTGGACTGAAGCTGGCAGCTTAGTAAGCTCACTATATTTAAATGCTGTTTGTGCTTATCTTTCTACTGATCTTTTTTGATGGTTTAACAGATATAATGTGCTTTGAAAACATTGTGTTTGTTTCCATTGAAAGACCTACACAAGCAAGTAAGCAGCAAAGTTTCTTGTGCACAAGTTAAGCTGTAAAGCAAGGAGCACAGATGGAGATATTTTTGTCATATCTTGTAGTTGCATTGTTTTTAGGTGTTGCAACAAGAATAGGTACTGTATCCTTGGATGAAAGCATGTTTGTATTGACTACACCCATTGAATTTTTTTTTTAACAGAAGCTTTCAGTCTTTCTTCTTGCATGTGTAATGTAATGACTTTCTGCATTATGATTTATTTGCCAAGTACGATAATGCAACAAGTGGTAGCATCTGAAATCCTTGAAGTATGCAAGTTTAGGCTGTTTTCTGAAGAAAATGCCTGTGTGCAGTTGTGTTGTCTGTCTCTTCAGTCTCACAAATAATTGCCAATTTCAACCCCTCAAGACAGAAAGAAGGGTTATGGGAATAACTGCATTTCACAAATACTGTAGGGAACTGCATCTGGGTAGGAGAAGGACTGAAACCACTGTTTCTATTGAGCAAAAGGCTATTGGCTTTTAAAAGCCAACATCCAGTTGGCCAGATAGCTTTTATGTATTCACATTATGTGAATACATAATGCATTTACAGTAGCTCCTGTCAATTTGGGGGCATGAGAGAGGGGGAGGACCTGCTGGGGTGGAGTTCACAGCAAATTTAAAGTAGAAGCTGAGGAAGGCATGGTGGGAAGAGGAGTTACCTAGTTTTATTGGTATGGGGATAAAGAGGAATATCTGAGGAAATCTGCTGGAAGCAAGGGTTCCTTAGTTTAGCTACTTACAGATCAAATCAATGAGATATATGAAATGTTAGCCTGTAGATACACACAGAATCAAAATATTAGGGATACATTGTCTGGTATCGCATCTAGACACATGATTTCAAGATTATTAGTTTTTACTTCCAGTTTTTACAAAATTTGAAGATCTAGCTTCATGTACGGGGATAATTTTTGAATGTAACATACTACCAGTATGATAGGCAAACTGAATAAATCATTCTTTGTACCCCTGCAAGGTTAATTGGTTTTTTTCCTTAATTCAGGAACACATGTAAGTGTAAATAATTGTGACATTCTTAAAATACATCAATATATAAGTATGTATGTATTTATAGCTGAAATAAATGCATTTGAAATCAGATGTATCCTTACAGTAAACTGTTCTGAGATGTATTTATTGCTAAGCTTTGTGTTCTTTTTCAATTGTCCTTAAACAGTAATTGTGACATAAAAATACAGTGCTAAAAATAATATGCTATATATTACTACTGAGTAAAATGTATGAAATATGTCTAGTATTGTTTTCTTTCAGGCTTTTTTCTGAATGTAGATGTCATGAAAGCGGAATCATTTTCCATCTTTCAGCTTGCTTTGCTATTTCTTATCTGATCGTTCAAGTTTCTAGTAAAGGCTTAAAAAACCCCCAGGTTTTTGTTTTAATAAAGCAAGAGTTTACCCCTTGTTCTATTTTTAAATTATGCAAGTATTTCAGAAAACAAGAACATTTATTTTCATGCCTTTGAAGTTTTTGTTTGTTACACCTGACTTCTTTATTTGCTTTTGTGTTGTGCTAGCATTGGTTTGAAAGCTGGATTGCTCTGAGGTTTGTGTCTTACATATGAAACAGGAATGAGAAACATGTGAAGGACATGTCTTATCTTCCCACTGTGTGATTCAAGTACACGCACCAGAATTAGAAAGTAGAGTTGAATCTCAAATTGTCAGTGCATATTTTTAAAATATAATTGCATGCATCACCTTTTATTTAATGTTCTGTTTTCTAATAGAACACCTCAAAAAGCACTAAGACATGACCTTTAGTTAACTCATTTCTGGGTAATATTAGTTAAAGATAGTGGGTTGTGTCACTTAATTATCTTTTGAGAAGAGGATGATATCTTAATTGCCAGTTTCAATTGATTTCTAGATTCTACTGTGTTACTGATAGGGTAGAATTCAACATTTAAGTATTTTAGTATATACAAAACATTTTATACAGACTAGCTTCACTGATGTTTATCAAAGTGTATTTGTGGTTCTTTTGCAGTACTGTGTCCTACATGAAGAGGGCTGCTTTTCAGAATTAGCCATGCTCCTTCCTGTGATGAGAAGTTTTCCATGGATATAACTTATAGTATTTTTTTCATTTGGCACTATACCTAAACCAGTATGCATTTACCTCCTCTGTGTGTGTGTGGATTTTCTGATCCTACAGTAAGTCTTCTGGGCATGACAACTCATCCATTTTAACTTAATAGTGCAATGAACTGGAGCAGGGAACAAATACTGTACAGTTTTACCCACATTGTTCTGGCTTTTTAAAGTCTATTTTTACATTGTATAGCATGTAGTAAATCCTCCTGCACATTTTGTTGTTGGAAGGAAAAGTAAACTTTGAATAGTGTAAATAAAATAAGCCTAGTTTTAAGGAATCCATATTTAAAAGCATCCTTAGTTCCTATAGCAAAGATGCAAAAAGGATCATAGTTGGGCTTGGACTAAAACATTCAAGTGGGTTCTCCAGGAAGCACTCCAGAACAGTGTTGGTGGAAGTCAGCATTCGACACTTCTTTTAAAACGGTAACTTTGATTGAACTATACAATAGTATTGTTCATACAGTGAACAAATCCAGATTCTTTGATGGTTTGGCATCAGTAATTGGTGTGTTACCCATCTTTGTTATCTAACACAAACTTCCAAGTAATGTAATATTTCATATTTTGTTTTTATGTTAATTATTAATGTTCATGTGGCTTAGATAGTCTCCCATATTGCTGCTATAATTTTACTGTTTTTAATAAGTGATCTTAATGAAAATGCTTCAATATATAAACATTTTTAAAGACTGTATCTTTTTAAAAATACATGTACAGTTTGAAAAACTTGCACCTGGGTTCCAAGTTAGTATTATATTGAGACATTGGTTGTTGTGTATCTCTAAATTTTACTACAAATCTCTCTTGTAAATTGTATGCGCTGTCTCCTCTGTGATCTGCACTCAAACAGATGAGAATGTGTTTTACAAATCCTGTAAAAGAAACGTACCCCATAATCTCAATATTAAATACTTGTCACAAATAATTTTGCCAGTCTTACAGATTGAAATATAAGGAGTACTAATAAAAATAAAGGAACTATTATCTAGGTTGAATTCCTATTGATTCTACACCCAGACTTATATACTGTATATGTGAAGGCACTGGAAGATAAGGTTCTAAAGAGAGAAACGTGTTTTTTCTTCAAACAGTTTTTTTCCATTTAAAGTCTTCAGTCTTTTTGTTAGAAGAGAAATTTGCTCCTGAATACGTTGTGTCACTTCTTTAATACTCGGGTTTTTTTATCATCACCAAATACTCATTTTGATCAGTAAAACACATTCAGTTTGAAAATAGTTCTCATAATGCTTTCTCTTTTTTGTAAAGGCCTCAATATTTTTGCCTTTTGTGCCTTTTTCAGTCGGTGAAGTTTTCAGCTTAAAATTCTTTCCTCCTCCCTCTCCCTGCACTTGACCACCAATGAGTACTTGCCAGCCTGCTCAGGAATAAATAGATCCTCTGCATTAAGTGTGTCATATGTGAGGAAGGTTTTTTTTTTTTGTTGCTTTATTCTACTTCATTTGTGGTTTCTCTAACAAGAAAGCTGCCGTTTATTTCTTTAGCTGATGTATTACAATCTCATTATGGCATGCTTTTTCTATAGAAATGCTTGATGTTGACTGTTAATGCCTGGAAATTGGCAAAGGTGATGACCCTGCTTTGCTTCATTTTTTTAAAAAAGATGCACATGTTTTGAAACACACCGTGTCTCCAAATGAGATTTAATCAGAGGTGTTTCAATCTACTTTTGAGGCTTGAGGTGACTAGATGGAACAAAAAAGAAGAAAATGAAGGGAAGAATTAAAAAAAAAAAAAAAAACAAACCACAAACAAAAAAACACTTTTGACAAAGTTTGTGTTGTTAGTTGTAGTAAATCTTGGATGACTTAAAGTCACGAAAGTGGTACAAGTTTTACTACAAGTAGTAAAACTTCAAAGAAAACCCAACACTAAAGACCAGAAACAGCTTTAGTGAGTTAAGCATCTGCTTGGGTATATCATGCCTCTCATCAGACTAAACAAGATTTCATTATGAAAAGTACCTGTTCACCTTGTGTGTAGAATCCTGGCATTAAACAACAGTTGCCAAAGGTGGCAAGTATTATATATGTACCTATATATGTACATAAAAAAATAGATTTCAAAACATTTGAATAAAAAGAACCATGCGTATCTGCTTTTCTGCTGAGTTCTATGTACTTCATACTCTCTATTATGCATCCTTTTTCCAGATGCATTATTGAATCTTGCATTCTTTCAGGGAGCTGGATTTCATTATTCTTTTTAGTTTTAGCATGTGATAGCTGTAAATGGCCACCCAAGAACAGTTGCTGACAAATACCCTAGAAGAGATTTGGTAAAAATACATTTTTACCAAAATCTGTTTCATTTTTAATGTGAAGAGTCCTAGAAGGAAAGTCTCCTTAAAATCATTGAATTTTAAGTTACTTAAAGTTAGGTTATTTGTATCACTTGCTTTAATAGACTTTTTTTTTCTCTCTTTTTTTTTTTTTTTTAATCCAACCCTTTTTCTGCATTTCAGCTATTTTATTTGATATAAGCTTATTCACTTGGTGCGTAGAGTCAAATTTTGAGTCAGGGACTTTCTGGACAGTGTGTCAGAGGTAGTCAAGAGCCCTAGAATTATGTTTTCTCAGTTAAGGAAAGAAACTTGAAAACAATGTCAGTTCATTTCTGGTGAAAGATAATGATTTAGCTGGACTCTCAGCTGGCGTAGGTAATTGGTGATAAAGAACATCTGCTGTTGACTGTGCCAGGTAATTGTAGCCTGTAACTTGGAGTGGTGGTTTTATTGCAGCAGTTCGCATCATTGTTGCTTCCAGACTCGATTACCTTGGTATTCTTTCTGCATGCATGTCACTTGGAAACTGCAGCTAGCCCAGAAATGGCACTCTGTGAGCTTGGCAACAGTGTTGATAATCAAGTGTGTATCTTTGCACAGCATCGTTTGCAGCAGCTGCCTCCTCATTTCCAAGGGGACAATTTAAGATTCAGGTTTCAGCTTCTGAAGTTGTAGATGGTGCAGAGCCTGTGTAGAAGGAAGCCTGCTTCTCCAGCTGTGGCAGCAATGGGCAATGGAGATCAGCAGCTTGCTTCGCTTAAAAAAGCATCTACCCAGTTCAGTTGGGAAGGGCCTAGAAGCAAAGCTTTCTAGTGAAGCGTTCTCAGCTCCCAAGCCTGAACTTACTGACTCATCTCATTATTCTGCAAAGTGTATTTTTCTTTTGGGTGATGGGGCTGTATTGTAACACAGAATCTGTGTGGGTTTGGAACTATTTTCTGACTCAGATATCAGTCCGAATTTTTAAAACTTCTCATGAACCTCCAAGTTATCACTGGATATAAAGTCACCCCAGAAACCATAAAAACACTGTCATCCAGTAAAAAATGAAATCTCAGAACAAAATGGATCTCTAATTATGTCACGTGAATTTAGTGTTCTGCTTCTCTTGGGGGCACAGCAGTGTTTATTTTAAGCCTAAAAAGAAACTCTCTGATTGTCATACAGGAAATCTACCTGTTCCAACGCTAAGATAATACAATTTCTTTTCAAGATGTTTACAATTTTGCAGGTAGCAGTGAGTGCTACGAGGGTTTTAAAGGGCACGTCTAATGATGGAGAAGTGCTAGATACCTTCCTTGCAGAGAGTTTCTTACCACTGAGGAATTGGAAGGAATGCTTTCATTTTTTAAGTGCTTTGTCCTTGCTGGAGAAGTGTCTTGCTCCCTTGCTCACGTTCTTTTGATCAGGACCTAACTCGGGACTTCTTGCCTCTTTCTTTGTATGTGTTGATCAGCAATGGTTCTCTGGATTAGCTGATTGGTGTCCAGTCCTAACAATAATTCTCCCAGTATGAACTGGGAGAACTAGTTACTGAATTTTGTCATTGTGTTTTGTTTTTCTCTCCTTTATAATCTGCAAAAGTTGGATAGAAGCCTCTCTTTGCACTGAATGCTAATTTAAACAGAGCTCATAATTTTGTTGTTCATTTTCCAACCAATCTTTGTGTTTGGGTTTTATGTTAACTTTATGTAATAAATATTAATTTTAATTTTCTGTAGCGTTACATGCAAATTTATGAATTCAAGTACATGTTTCTTGGAAACAACATGTTATAACTTAGGCTGAATACAATGGGATGAAAAACTCAGCAAAGAAGGTAAAGTATTTGGATTTTCTTGATCAGGAAAATATTTGGAGAATGCCCCATTTTTTTAAAATATAGAAACTATAGAAAGCAAATTCTGATCCTACATCTGTTTCTGTTGATAGGCAATTCTGCACAATTCTATGGCCTGATGATATTCAGGGGCTGACCAATTCAAAGAAAACAATCCAGATTTTCCCACTGACTGCATTTTTGGCCTTCAGGAATATTCCATTGCCCAGGCATGGCAGGCTGACATACAGGAAGTCTTTCGCGTGGAATAGCAGCGTTGCTGTTAAAATGTCAGTCTGTTTTTATCTGTAGGTAAATCATTGACTGCTCCCAGGAATGTTTCTCCTTCTGCTTTTATTACCTTCACAGGAACACTAATCGTGCAAAGTAAGCCCCACATAGATCATCCTGCTTATCTGCGTATTTTGGAATCTGGGTTTGGAAGATTCCTAAATTAGCATGGGAGTCCCTCAAAACACCTTACAGCTATTTCATCATGAAAAAACATCTCCGCAGTATTACCTGCATTCACTGCTTTCCAACCTGAGGGATAGAAACTGTCCTTGAGATAAATTTGAAAAAGACAAATGCAGAACCTGTCACTTTCATTTCCAGAAGTTGTTGGTATTGTCTGCTAGCGATAGCATGAAAATAGTTGAGTAGAGAGCCGCTTCCTTCTACGTGCATCTGTCATTGATGCATGGAGGGAACAGTCGTATCAGCCTGATCTAAGCCTCATTGTCACCAGAACCACTGAGCTTTTGCCTAAAATTGAACGATTGCTTCCTCTAAATGCATATCTGAGATCGTAAAAGACTGAGCCCTAGAATGCTTTGCTTTGTCTTTAGTGCAGTGGGTGATTCCCCTGTGAACATTGTGGACGTTGAAACAGAACGTGGCACTGCAGTTGCCCGTTACACCGAACAGCACAAGAGTGAGCTCTGCTCCATAAGCACTTGGTACTGAAGGAGGGTCTTGCAGAACCACTGCACTTTACAGTGGTGACAGCTTCAGTGGGACAGGGCCCTTGACATCCCTAAGATTTCTATGGGGCATTTCAGCCATGAAGGATGGACAGGGAGGTCTTTCTTCCTGTTTCTGTAGACGTTGCTTTTCCAGTGCCTCATAAATTTTTGTACTGCTCTGAACTGACTTAAGAAGTTGAAGTATGACTTCGCTCGCTTAGAACAGTAAGTGTTGAAACCTGGGGTAAAAATCAAGTAAAATCCTATAGTCTCCAGGGTAATTTTAAGAGCGCTGTATCTAATCCTGCATGCTTGGGTTGGCAAACTATTAATGATCATTCTTTGTCATGTACCCTTTGACATAAAAAAATAGTTACTGATAGTGACATTTTCTTCTGAAGTGTTGATCAACAGCTCTGTTGACTGCCTACAGACAATTCTGCGTTCTCTTACAAATGGCTCCCAGGACAAAGTTTACCTATGTAGCCAGAATTTTTTTCAAAGAAAAGCTCAGAGTTTTGAAAAGCCTATTTAAATAAACCAGTGTC